AGTACTATACAGGAGCTATTTCCCATAAATGCCAAGCTGTGGGCCTTCTTGTCTTAGCAAGGAAAGGGCCCAGGAAATTGCTTGTGACCTCTGAAGATGGAGTTGTGGTCAGAGCTGTAGTTATTATTAAAGGACACATGTGGCTATTGTTTCATTTTTTCCTCTAAAGCTTGACACTAAGACTGGCAGCAGTAAAATGTAAGGGATACATCTATAACTCAATGAATAACACGTTGCTAAATGTGTGTCTCATATACACTACCCACTGCCTTAATTCTTTATGGCATATATTCAGTAGGAGTTGATAGTGTCACATAATTTGCTGCAGATTTATCTGCTGCACATCCATGATGAAGACTGTGGAGGCTATTTGTGTGCAGTGAAATTATTTCCATGTTCAATGAACTAGTCTGACGTGATTTTAACTTTGTGACATGGTGGATTATCCTGCTGGAAGCAGCCATCAGAAGATGGAGACTGTGGTCACAAAGGGATGGACATGTTTGTCAACAATAGGCTCTGGTGTTTATACATTGGTCAGTCAGTAATAAGGGCCACCACTGTCACCCTGAACCAGCATGACAGGATCCATACTTTGATGTTATTTAAACTAACCAGGCCATGTTTTCTACTCTTCGCTCATCTTATAGCAACAAATAAATCACATCAGGATTATTGAACCTGTTAAACAAAATCTACAACTCTACCAAATTTGAACGACAGACAACAGTGCTGTGTTCACTTTAGTGGTAGTGATGTCCCTGAATAGTGGATACAGCTACTCATGTTCTAGAGACTTCCAGGGAGGAAAGGGTTAAGAAACACCAGGGGGGCAGTTTGGGAACAGAGATCTAGGGAATATAAATACACTGTTGCCTATTCAGGAAACATTTTGCAATAGTTTTAAAGAAGAAGAATTATTCTTCAGTTGATAACATTTTTTGAAGGCTACACCATGTTATAGTACAGAAGGTGGGTTAGAAAGATTCCTTTAAGTATTTCCTGAGACATTGCTGTGTAATGATATTGTGTCTTACCTCCAACATCTGTGAGCATTTAGCATAAATTAAAGCTGCATTGATGCTTTTGGGTCTTCTTATTAATGAAAAACTATCCTCATGTGGTTTAGTTTCAGTTTCTGCCAGTTGCTTTGGATCTTAATTTAGATTTCAGAATATACATTTACATACAAGTGACAATGAGCAGCTTTACTTTATAATGAAAATAAGCACAGGTGCACTACATGTCAAGTGTAATTTACATTTATCTGATTATTTATTGCTTTTTACACAATATTGTCTATACTGGCTTCTTCTGTACAAAATAATACATTTCCTATAGATTTCCAAGACATCTCCATGGTTCCTCTCATCCACATCTTACATCTAAGTGTGTTTTCATTCTTAGAGCTGATATATTTTCTAATGACGCTCAGACCTGCGACTGCACACCCCTCCATCTCCATATATCCACACGCCCTTCAGCATGTTCAAGGAGGTTCACCTGAAAGGTTAAATCTTTCCTCCCTGCTGGCTTTCCTCCACCCTCCCACATTATCACCAGCCTACAAACTCCACAGGGGTTTATCTCCTGGCTTTTTGTCTCCGTGGACATACATATAATCAAGACGCTTCACGTCGAGTCTCATCAGCAAGATCTGTCATTGGTTTATCCCTGATGATTCATAGCTGCCTTTGTGATGCTGTTATGTAGGTATACACTAACCTGATACTATTTTTACTAGTATTTCTACAATCACTTTGCACCACCTGACCAACCACTGGAGTCACTTGGTTATGGTCGAACAGTCAAAAATAATTATGATGATGTTTTTCATCAAGGTCAAGACAGATGTGATGAATTTATAAGGGCTTAGGAACAAAAAGAACCCCAGAGAATCTGACTGCATTCAAAATTCAAAAAGCATATTATTTATTGTTTGTAATTTAATTCAACAAAGATGTAAAGGCACCAGGAACAAGCACAGCTTTGAGAGGTTTCTCATGAAAAGTGATCCAAGAACTTGGGAGAACGTCATAAGGAGTGTCAGAACATCAAAAGCCACTACACAAAGATGTCTTTAGGACAGGAGCTACAACTGTCACACCCCTACAAAGTGTTTCACCTGGGCTAAGGTGAAAAAGTTGATGCCCAGTGGTCCAAAGTTCTTTTTTCAGATTAAACTAAATGTTACAGTTCTTTCAGAAACCACAGTCAAAGAGTGGAGAGGCACAGACTCCAAGGTGCTCGAAGTACAGTCTGGTCTTTAGTATTTTGGGGTACATGTGATGTGCTGGTGCTAGTCGTTTAAGCCCAAAGTCATTCATGTTAAAAGAGCCTCAATCAAGTATCTAGTGTATAAGTGAAGATGCTGTTTAGAAGTCGGACATTTCTGTATTCTACAAAATTACATTTCCTTTCATAAAGGTGGTCCAGATAAGGAAGCAATGAAGGAAGCAGTGAAGGACCTTGCCTAAGTATTCAGAGAATTTAGACAGCTCTTATTACAGCTGCCACAGTGATACTTCCAGCTCACTTCAACATGTTAGAAACTTTCCTGAGCAAAACTGAAAATTCAACCGCAGCCCTATTTTTTGTTTCTGCCAGCCTTTGACTCATCTTGCCTGTCTTAGTTTTATAAGATTTTACCTGCTTCCTTTGGATATGTCTTTCTCACATTGTCTTTCCACTTAACTAAGTAAACTGTCTCTTCTCTCACCTGTCCTGACTCTTCATGCTCTATGAGATGCCTCAAAAGTGGCAATAAAAAAAAGAACAATTGTTTGACAGTCTTTATTACTCAGCGACACATACTGTGTAGGCCTGATTTATGCCAACTTATCCTTCCTTATTAAAGCAGTTTGTCACTTCTGATTGGCTGTTTATATGCCATCATGAAAGGTGCACATGAAGGTTTTGACAATATTGGGCTTTTAATGATCTCTGTGAAATCTTAGTTTCATATAAACATGCATTTTTTTTTAAAACTCCAGAACTGCACTTTTTTATATTTAAGGTTTTATGAAATAAACAATGTCAAAAAATATATCTACATCCATTATTAATTCAGTGGTGCTCAGACGTTTGACTTGTCAGTGCCAAAGCCTCTTAACTTTCTGTGAGTGAGCACAGCTGAATACAGCTGATAGATTCTCCTGGTCAACATCAAAAATGGTTCTGTTTCACTGCACATGTAAGACTGACCTACACACAGTACAATGAAATATCCAAGCAGCTCAGCAGAGATCTGAGAAAGAAGTTTGGACATCTTACAAGCCAGAAAACTCTCTTGGAGCCATTTATTAAAATAATTTAAACAATACAATAAATAAAGATTGTCATCAGACTTAAATTGTTTTAGAAGTTACATCCTTCCCTGAGAGAACATTTGTTTGGATGGTCTAGAACAGCCACCAAAGCATGAGTCTGCCATGCTGGAGCATTAGTGCCATCGTCTGCTGTCAAGCTAGTCTGACACCACTGTGGCCTGACAGACTGCTTTCCAAGAACAAAGGGCCTGTCGTGTCAGGGCCTGTCACTGATGTAAAGTTTGCAGGTGACCACATGGGCAAAGAAAAAAAAAGAGCTTTTTTTACAGTCAGGTGAGGAAAAATTATTTGGCAACAGCTACCCAAGGAGTAATGATGAAGGCATGGGGAGGTAGCATCATACTGTGGGACAGTTTTTCTGCCAGTTATGTTGAACGGGGCGAGTGTGAAAGATGTTTGCTAAAAAGTAACTTAACGGCATTAAATATGCGAAGGCTAACAAAATGTGCACACAATACATCGAAGTCGTGCATTTTCAGCAATGCTAAATAAGTCTGACTGTGGAGGAGATACAAATCTCTTTAGGGCTGCATGAGGAATGGGATCTGCCAGATCAACATGTGGGGCAACCCGCTGAGGCAGTCAATAAGGCAGCAGCTGAAAGCAGCTTTTATGAAGTCAGAGATTGTTACATTAAGGTCCTTATTTAGCAGATTCTTATCGTGAAGATGAAAGAGTGGTTATCTGGAGGCATCAAAAGAAAACTGCTCATGTCGTTTCTTTGTGTGTTTTCAGGCTCACAGCGAAAAAGATTCACATAAAAAACCCACAAATGGCATTATTTTGTGTCTGAACACAAACAGTTTTGTACTCATTCAACACTGATGCTGTAAACTTGGGGTACCTGTGTTCTTAATTATTAACACGTCAGTTAGGATTTGTGTGTGAATCATGCTGAATTCTTTCTGCCTTATTAACCAAAAATGGTATTCAAAGCAGGGGAGTCTGATCAGAGAGAAATACAGTTTAGAAATCTGGTGCAGAAAACACCGGGCATGATTATCAGATTCCTGTGGAGCTCCATGCTCTTACACACGTATTAGATGAAAAGTGCACAAGAGCCTGAAAATTGTCTTGCAATCTGAGTCAAAAATGGTTACTCTGTACTGACATAAAAGTCCTGCTAAAGCCTGATAATATAATGAATGGTACAAATTTTTCAGCATCAAAATATTCTTAAAATAAAGTTACAATCAAAGTAATGCAGTTATGATTGACTGGCCCACTTCAAAATCTTGCCACTGGCTCTGGCTTCCAAGGGTGGATAAAAAATGCTGAAAAAACATTGGAAAGAGAAAATATACTTTATTTACCCCCAACAGTGAGCAAATTCATCCACTACAGCAGTCAAAACTCTTGCAAAAAATAAACAAACTTGGATAACAGATAACAAAATAGATTAAATTCAATAAATTAAGTAAAATGAGATAAAAGAAAAAGAAAGTGAAATAAAGGAGCTAGAAAAAAGTAAATTAAAAAAAAAAACGAATATAGATGTCTTATGCAGATGTGCAGCTCTGTAAACATGCAGGAAGCTGTTGTAATCAGTTTTATCATGTTATGTAATCTCCCCATGCAAAGACGTGCTTTTATCTCAGTTTTTAGAAAGGGCTTAATTCCGGTGCCTGTAACCCCGTCACGTCAAGTCCAGTATCGGGTTATGTTTATCAGAAAAAAGCATGTTTTTGCTGGATTATAAGTTTTAATATTTATGTTTATTGTCCGACTACCAGCTTGTTCCTAGCTTATTATGTTATCTTGGCGAGTGAGGGATAAGTGGGCTGTGTCCCCCGCTCGCACTCACAGCTGGCGCACCAGCGGAGCAAGTCTTTACGCACAAGGCATCATTGGCTGAGAAGCCACGCGTGTCGCAGGGAAGACGACGAACCAGTAAACAGCTTGAAGCAAAGCGGTGAAGTATCGGGCAGTTGGTGTCTGTGCGGAGTCTCAGCTACAGTTTGTCGATCTGCGGACTGATTTGGATCGTTTTTATTTCTGGAGCTGTCCGCGGTGCTGAAACATGAATCAAAGCGCAGGAGCAGTGCAGCACACTCGGAGATACTCAGTGGAGGGAAAGGTAAGCAAAGACTGAGATGGAGCGAATTTCTTTTTCTTCATCTCGTCCATGTTGCCTGATTGAGGATGCATTTGTTACTCATCCCACTGTGGGTTAACTACCAGACTTAGAAACACGCATAGAACTTTTATCTGGAAGTTTGCAGCTGCTTGAATAAGTTACGGTAACTTAAAATCGAGCCACGTGGAGAAAGTTGAAAGTCATTTAAATGACACGGAGACTCTGTGTCACTTGGTGTGATACCTGCAGGCAGAGTTTAGAGATATGATCGGTAGCTGTGTTCCTTTAGTGCAGACACCATGTTGGATAAATGAATTAACCAAAAAGCAGGATAAATGGCTTCTCGGGTGCATCCACTTAATTAAATGATTTATGGGAGTTTAACTATATAGTCAAAGATGTCAGTGCAAGTATTAACGTTTAATGTCGAAGCCTTCAATAGAACTTCCTGATGTGAAACAAGTGAAAGTGACTTTGCTATCAGAATTTTTGGGCTTATTTTTGGGATGCTTCCTAGTAGTATAGAGGTGTTTAGTAAAGATTTTGCTTGTCAGACAGGAGAGGTTGTTGCATAACAGATAACAGAAGTAACTGAAATGTGAAAAAGGTCTCATAGCCAGCAAGTGTGGCCTGAAGGTGGGGCAACCTTCTACATATTATTAAAGTTTATAGGTCAGCTCAAACTTTATCTTTAGGGATGTTTGTGCTCTCAGCATACACGGTTAGATTCTTTTATGCTGCAGGAAAAATAAATACAGGGGGTGATTTGGATATGATATCAAACAAAGAATAAACTGTTCACACAGTGTGCATGAATATGAGCCTCACAATTTTCAAGTTTATTTTACAGCAGTGTTCAACAGTAAAGCAGCTCAAACTGCTTTGAGACATGAAAAAGGATTAAGGCAGCATTTAGAAGCAAAGAGATACACAGAACAAAGTGAGCTGAATAATAGCACAAAAACAGTGCACTAAAAGAAGAACAATGACAAAGAATAGAGCTGAACAAATTAAAGACTCAGACTTGTAGAAGACCTCGCATGTTCTAACAGGTTCTTCTGTTAGGACTGAGCCTCTCTGTTTGAACATGGAGATCATGAAAGGACCCGTTCTGGGGCATTTAAAATGGCTGAGCAGCTCATAATACAACAGGAAACAGAAAATTCTTTTTAGCCTTAAATCTCCTGTTGTTAAATCGGATTCTTTGTCAGACCACGGGCATGTCTGGCTGCATGCAGGTGACCATGATAGTCCTTATTCTCCATTTCTGAAGGTCTGCTCCAACCAGAACCTGCAGAAGGTGGAGAACTGTTTCATATACCCGTGTTCTAAGCTTACGGACAATGCAGAAACAAACAAGGACTTCCCCTGGCAGACTGTAAAGTGACAGTTCAAATGCAGCGTGAGAGGTATACTGAAGAGACTGTATATATTAAATATTGTTTTATGGTGAAATTGCTAAAGGGAATTATTTGATAATCAGCTTAAGAAAGCATGTGAACCTCCTTTTTCTCCACATGCTTGCACATCCAAACATGATCTCATCCATACTTGCCAGTGACATAATATAAATTTGTGGGAAACCATCCACACCACCCGTGCAGGATATGTCAAAGGTCATTGGGATATGCTGAGCTGTAAAGCAGTCCTGTGTCAGGATATTAAATGTTGAACAAATTGAAAGTGTGACGCATTTATAGCCAGTAGATCAATGTCATTAGCTCCTTATGTTCTATATATAGAAGCAGTGAGTCGAGTCAATTCAGAGACATCACCCTGGAAGTGTTTGACTGACAGATTAATGAACAAATGGACCAACTAAGTGAAGTTTCTATTTCTAGACTCACACTACTAGTGTGGCTGAAAATGTAGAGTTCTCTCTGAGGAGCAGAAATTAATTTCACTCACCTTGGCTATATGTTACAGTCTCTGCTTGTCTCATTACATCCAGCATTCAGTGGCCATTAAAACCAGCTGCAAAGAAAATGGAAATTGAGGACAATTGTGACACTGCCCCCCTTGGGCTTTGGTGGAGAAATAAATGTGCATGCATTGCCCGGGGCTATTGCTCATGGTTGTTCATTTTCTTGCCTCCTTTGGTCCAGGCTATTAAATTGTATGTGAGCTGTACATTTGAGACAGAGTTATCCTAAAGATAGGTTCTGAACATCCTGAACATTACATGGATTTAGTTTTGTTTACTTGTTTTTACTATTTCCCTGCAAAAAAAACTCTCTTTAAAAAGTCCCCAATCATGTGTAGGGATTCAAATTTCTTCCAGGAAGTTGGAGTGGGGGATTGAGAAGAGATGAAGGGTTTTTGGAAAACAGATTCTGAGTGTGAGTCTCTGAGTCTCTAACTCAAAAGTGCTGCGATTACTTGTTGAGTGCCTTTAACCCACGACTGCCAGGATGCACCAATCACTGTCTTTTTGCTTAATGGAGATTTGTTACTAAGAGTTTCCCAGAAAAATAACTTAAATATTGATTTTCCAGCAAAGAAAGGAAACATCATGTGACTATGTAAGCTGTAACTTATTGGAAAGTGTTCTTTTTTTACCACTTGTTGGATCAAGTGTTCATACACAGATTAGTTGTGTCTGCTCATATGTTACATTTGGATTACTCAAAATGTCTCATACTGACTTGTGATGGCAATGCAAATCAGTACAGAAATGGGCAAAAATGAAAGGTTTGGGGGATCAAAGTATATAGATAAAGAATGATTCATTCACTCAGTGTTAATAAGTCCATACTTTTCCTCATATACCCCTCAGTGGCTTGATCCTTTTACTTTGGAAAGATGACTTTTTAACAGCTAGATATGGTTCTTTAGTTTCAGCACTCACTAGAATATATTTACCAGACTGGATTTTATGATTTGTGTTGGAATTTTAGGAATCAGCACAGCAACCATTTTGTGACTCAGCATGTCAGTACTTGTTTATCAAGGACAGTGTTGTGTCCATAACTAAAATTGCTGAATATATTGCATGGTTTAGTATTTATTTTTGACTGAATTTTACATGTTCCAACATGTACATTTTTCATTAGCCAGGTGTAACAAAAGATAAAGCGTTTACCAGACTGATGATCCCTAGTGGACTACCCATATACTTGAGGCAAGACTCACAGCTAAGAAAGAGCTTCCTAAGTGTTACGTATCCGTCTTTATCCCAGCTTTAGTCTTGAAGTGTATGATCACACACTTTTTTTGTGAACTGCAGATTGCCATTGTCTTACTTTGTTTGGATTCCCTCGCAGGCATGTTGTTATCAAAAGAAATATGTCACCAGGATATAAAAGTGCTCTGGGGCTGGACTCCATCTGCTGTGGGGAACGATGCAGATAAAAGGCACATGCTGCATTTTGGAACAGTGGGTGTTTGCCTTATGCACAGCATGATTTGTTAGGGTTTGGCTTAACTTTTTTGTATTGTTTTTATTACATTTTTGTCTGTTTTATCTCTCTTTACTGTGATTATCTAGATTAGGAAACTTACAAATCTATTTACAGGTATTGTTAATGATAAATCTTAAGTGGCTAATATGTGTTGGGTGGATTAGAAAGCATTACCATATCGAAAAAATTAAAGAACCACAAATTATTGGTAAATCTGATCAATTAAAGCTGATTAGTTATTAAAAGATTCAAGTTTCAAGATCTTTTATTTGTCATGTGCATAGTTATACAAGTACATGCAGTGAAATGTGTCGTGACACGCTCCTCGACTGTGCAAAAAGAGAGAGAAAACATTATATACAGTAACTAGGTAAATATATACAAAGGGGACATTATGTGTAGTAATTAGTGGAGCGGTCAGGAAGGTGTCTGGATGTGGCCGAGCCATCTTCAAACACCTACAAATTCATTAATCTTTCCTTGTAAACCCAAAAAAAGAAAACAATGTGAGGATCTGTCCTCACATTGTCACACTGGATTTGTCCTCCTCCAACAGCTGTTTAAGTGTTTTTGCATTTTGAATAATGTAAACAGGTGAGAACAACATACTGTAAGTGAAGACCCATTTGTGTTTGTTTGTTTGCTAATTTATTTCAATATTGCTACTGCTGATTCATTTACATGTTGAAAGGGAGTGGGAAGAAGTACACCCTTAAGTCTGTGAAGGTTCAAAGTACACCCTTAAGTTATCAGTTAATATTTAGTCAGCTTCCTTACAGATATAATCTGTATAAAATAGTGAACAGATTTCTGATATAATATATATTATATACTATAATATCACATCATGAAATTTTTTAAATAGAGACATTCACTTAATTTCAACAATTTCCCTTTCTTTATAGTTTGAGAAGATCACATTTTATTTATATTAGTTTTTTCTTGTAGTACGTTGTGTTAGGTAATTGATAGATAGATAGTGGCTAAGTAACTTTTAAATTACAGCTTTAGGAACATCACTGTGTCATTCTTTCTCGCACTTCTCTCTGCCAAACAGAGACAGTGAGGTTCAGATGTGTTTTCCTTACTGGACACTCCTTTTGGTTCAGGCAGTGCAGGAGGCAGAACACATGATTCCTGCTCGCTTGTTGTGAATACAGTTACATAACAAATGCAAGCAATTGGACATTACACAGACTTTGTACCATCTGTGAATCTAGCTGAATTATACATTTGGCTTATTGCATGCAGGTATTGTCAACAGGCTGAAATGCAGTTGTGAAAAAGGCTAGCATGTATAAACTGAGCAATTAACTAAGGTTTTATTTAGACCACCATTACCCTGCATGAAAAAAAATTTATCCCTTTTATATTCATTGGAATAAGTTCAAACTAGCTACTGAGTAAGAGCGCCAACATGTCAGCTCATGCCAAGGAAATGCAGAGTGAGCCAGCTGTTCTATCAGTTGTGCCTGCATGATGGTTCACAATGTAAGCAGAGATTTTCTACCGATCTGTTAATCAAACTGAATTTCCTGGACTGTGCTTCATGTTGCAGTGGTACAAGAAGAAAACCTGCAGAATTTGATCCAAATCATT